TTGTTCCTACGGTAAACACCTGAACCATTGATTCATCCTCGGTGTCATTCTCGTAGCACACAATCCTGACCACTTTGAATTCTTCCGTCCTCGGATGAAACCCAAATCCAAAAACTTCCCTTTGCTTCAGAAATCGGTTCGCTGGTGGGACTCTCACAGCGTCTCTAACAAAAGGATTGTAAATTAGCAGACTGCGAGACACCGATCGACCAACGATTATCCGAAAGGATAAGCATAACAGGCCGTTACAAGAACCCACCAGATTATCAACTGCCAAATGCTGTGGTGGATCGATTTTTCTAACCCCTCTACTACAACCTTCAGTATCCAAAAAGTAGAGTTGCCGGGGGATAGGGGAATTGTAGTCGAACAGAATCAGACATGGGTCTGAGTCGCTTACCCGATTACGGAACATCGGAGGGAGCCTTCGATCGGCGATTAAATCATAGCCGGCATGGGAAGTGGTCTTGAAGTGGATCAGAGAGGTGATCGGGAGTCTTGATAGGATTTCGAGCAGCATCTCCGGTGGTAGACGATGAAGATCTCTCCGGACCATCACTCTACTGGAAGTATCATCTGCAAGGTTGGCTCTTTTCTTCTCTCTTCCCTCTTCGGCATCCATGGGTAATCTCAATAGAATATCGATGGTAACTTCCTACGGAAGAAGATCAATCCCTTTTACAAGCAGATCTTTCGCTGGCGGGGTGGCTTTCTTCCTCTCGATTCCCTCCTTAGGACTCAAATCCGTGGCTTTGAAGCTTTCAATTTCTGATGTTGAAGATATAATGAAGGAACAACCTGATGTGTGAACAAAAGAAAGAACGTTAGGGGTTGGAGATAAGAAAAGAGTCGACCTCATGTGTGAACAAAAGAAAGAAAGCTTTTCGGTATCAATTTTCACCGAAACCAGCCTTTGCCCACCCCTTCTTCTGCACTCCCATTTGACCTCTTAAAGCCGTCCCTCTACTTTGCGAAAAATGTTCATGGTCGTTTTTGTACTAACTTAGTCACTATGTTTAGAGAAAAAGTACATAAAAATCAATTAAGAATTACAGTATAAATTTACCTTTTTAAATGCATTTGTAGATGCACTCTGACTTGTTATTCATTATAAATCACTTTTAGTTATAGTTTAAAAAAATTAAGCATTGTTTATACATTGAATTGCCAATAAAAGTATTTGATAAAATTTAAGAAGTACTTATTTAAAATTCTGTTAAAAGTTGTTAATAAGAGTATTTGACAAATTCTTTCCTTATAAATTTAAAATTTTGTTAAAAGGAAACTCAAAAGTTGGCATTTAAGGTGATATTTAAGCAAGTATTGAAAGAGTTATACCTCTACATTTTTTTCAAATTTACTTAAAAGCACTTTTAAAACCCAATTTTTGATATTCTATTCAACAAAATTTCAAAACTAAAAGAAAAAAAATTTACTTTTTAAGTTTTTCTCAAATACCCTCAATGTTATAATTTCTATTTTTATTATGAATAAATAAATGCATTGTTTGTTTCTTATAATCACAGCCCTTCATATATTGATGGTAATTTCTTAATTCATTAATGATGGCGTATTTTTTAATTCATTGTTATAATTTTTTTTTTTTTTTGCCAATTTAACAATTTTTCGTGTAGGAACAGAGCAACGTCATATATAGTTGATGTAAACCTGCAATCTCACTGTAATAACCTTCTCTTACTTGACATATTACATCCTCAAATCGTCAATTTCTTAAGAACAAAATTGTACACTGAAACCTGGCAGTATTCTCTTTGGTGTGACTTCAAGCAACTGTAAAACAGAGGAAATTATATATTCATACACTAAGGAAGACTTGTGAAGATTATATCAAACCTTCATTTCAACGGTTTCCCTTACAGAGAACAGAGTAGGCTGGAAAGCAAAAGCTTGGAACTGCTGCGGGAGCCTGTTGATCTTTAGAGCCTTGAACCCGTCAGTTTTAGGATCAGAAGAAACCAGGGCTCTCTTGTTACACTCCAGCACAACGTCCCCATTCTTCAAGACACATAAAACCCGTACGAATCTTCCCATTCAGTTCGAATCAAAATCTTCATTCACCATTCCATTCTGCCCATCGAAGAAGAAGAACAGAGGAACAGAGGAACATAGTGGTTGATACAGTATTCTTTCTCCCAAGATTCCTTCACATTGTTCTCCTTCATCACCCAGATGTCTAGTCGGCAATCCAGCAACGGTAAGACAGCCGTTAAGTTCAGAAAGATGATAACCAGAATAATATTCTTCAATACAGTCAAGCAAAGGGATTTCCTTGAAAACTTCCTCCGCCAGCTCAAAGGAGATGACGCGGTGGTGGTAGTTGAAGTATGGAACCGCCAAATGAAGAGACCCTTCCACCAGAGCCTCCGGTGGTTTTAATTCAAAGTTATACGGGGAAGCTCCCTTCTTCCTCCATTCTGTTGTTCCAACCGTCAACACCTGGACCTCCGACTTGTGGACAGTCACTCTTTCTCTTCGCCCTGTCATGATCAGCTCATAGAACACAATCCTGATGACTTTGAATTCTCTACTCCTTTGATGAAACCCAAATCCAAAGATTTCCCTTTGGTTCACAAGCCGATTTGGGACAGGCAACTCTATTGAATTCGAAGCCGTAACGAGAGGATTGCAAATCTGCAAAACACGAACTTGCTTCGAATGGTAATACTTAGGAATGGATATGCATAACAATCCATTACAACAACCCACCAAATCGAATCCGCAAACTGTCTTCAAAGGTTTGATTTTTCTTGCAGTATTGGTATACCCTCCTCGTCCATCACTGTCCACGAAGTATAGTTGTCTGCAGGCCGTTGAATCGGGGTTGATCATGATCAGACATGGGTCAGTGTCAAAGAGAGGCTGTAGTCTCTTAAAACTCAAGGCCAAGACCATTGAGAATATAAACCATAAGATTATCATCATTGAGTGGATGATTTATGGTTCCCAATTAGTTAGCAATAGTAGTTTTGAGATCGCATAAATAAGCAACAACAGAACAGCCATCACATCTCATATTTTGGAGATGCTCCTTCAAAGTGAATACCTGAGTGCAAGAATGATTAGCATAGAGCCTTGCCAACATTTCCCCGCTTGTTGCATTGTGGCAGCAACAGCAGCAATAGCAATATAAAGGGTGATGTTTTTCTAGATGAAGGTGATAAGAGCATGGCGCAGGCAAGGTTTTTAAAATCGGACCGGATCGGTCGGTTGAACTGGTCGAACCAGTACCCGGGATGAAAATGGTTCGATTTACATAAAAAACCGTTTGAGGTCAAAACCGATGAAAACCGATGAAAACCGATAAAAACCGATGAAACCGATAAAACCAAAAAAACCACCGGTTCAATTTCTCATGCAATCTTCTTTCAATTTTTTCCAATTTCACCCTTCCCATTCCTTTCTTATACCCATTTTAACCTTTAATTTTAACAAAATTACAAAATTATCAACACCAAATTAGAAAATCCATGCGTGCAGCTTGCTCATCTCATCAAATCTTCCTTGCTGTTTGGATCGGTCGGTTCACCGATTCAACTGGTTGAACTGGTTAAACCAAAAACCAAACCTAAAAACGGTTCAATGATCGGTTCGGTTTTAAAAACCTTGGGCGTAGGAGTTACTCTGGCGCTATTGCAACAAGACAAGAGGTTTGACTGTCGAGATAGCCATCGAGTTCATTCCCTGTAAGCAAAGAAGTAAATTGAGCCTTCCATGACATGTAGTTAGTTGGCATTAGCTTCATAGGAAACGAGCTGAATTGAATGGAAGTGGGTTTTTTGTGAGGCCAAGATTAAGGACTATTGTAGCAAAATTTGGGGAGGAGTTAGATTGTTCAAAGTTTGAGGACTCATCTTGGGAGGCCATGATCATAACTCGTGAGAGCAAAAAGTGCTCTGATACCACGAATAGGCTAAAAACAAAGGAAGATTCACTACAATGTATCCTTACTATCTTTTGTAAACAATATATACAGAGGTAATTTTAACTAATATGGAAACGATAAATATGATACAATATCAAAACTCATAAATTATAGATTAACTAAATCCTCGAATCACGGTGGCATTGAGTGTAGATCACGTTAGAGGATCACAAGATATGCTTTCCATAATAGACCCATCCCTTTTCCAAGCAGATCTTCCACTGGAGGGGTGGCTTTCTTCCTCTCACTTCGCTTCTTAGGATTAAGATCCATGGCTTTAAAGCTTTCAGGTATTGAAAGATGAAGAAGAAAAACCTGGTTAGAACAAAAAAAAAAAAAGAACATTAGAACTTGAAAATTTACAAGGACTTGTAGAGAAATGAAATAAACAATTTGAATGTGCATATCGCATATCTTTTTTAGACTTTATATTATAAAGAATACAATTTCATTGGGTTTTGAAGGTCAAATCCTTGTATTTCAAGATTAGAGATAATGTTTAAGAGGTTAGAAGATTTAAATTAAAAAAGAATCAATATTCCTTCAAAAGAAGATCTAAAATGAAGAGAATGCAATCTCCATGCTTCGACCTAGTGGTTAAGACTCTTGGTTAGTGGGGATCACCTCCCATGAATTACGTCTTTGAACTCCATGGGATCCCCTTTCCCTAGTCCCCAGTCCTTGTATATGTACCAATTGCTCTCATTCAAAATAATAATAATAATAAGAGAAATGCCAAACACCTCTTACTTACACCCGCTGATTGGGATACAAAAGTGAGTAAATTTAATATAATTGGTTATAATTATAAAAAATGAATTCCTAAAAAGGAAGATTGATCATAATTACTTGTGAAATATTTGCAAACGCATAGTTTAAAATTAAAAACTATGTTATATATTTATTTAGAGTAAGAATCTATTTATACATAAGTTTTATACACCAAATTTACACAAAATTTCAACCATTCATTTCTTGACTTTTAATAGTTAAAATTTATTCACATTTATTAAAAGCAATTATCTTTTTTATTTAAAAAATCATGATAAATCTCAACCATTGAAGATTAAGAGATGAATGATCAAGATTTTGTGTAAATGTAATATGTAAATCTTGTCTGTAAATAAATTCCTCCTTATTTATTTATTAAGTTTAAATGTATATTAATCTAACATTTAATAAAGTTGAAAAGTTAACTAAAATAAGTTACATATTTTGAGTCCTAACTGTTAATAAAAATATTGAGTTTATAGTTGTTTTTTTCCCTAAACTTAATATGTTTAAACTTTTGGTACTGTAATATTTTTGAAAAATGTAAAAAAATTTATGATTAAATAATTAGTTATTGAAACATTTTGAAATTACAAAAAAAAAAATCTTGAATTTAAGTTAAAGTATTTATTTACTTGGGCTTGCTTGCAAGCTTGAACTTAAATACTTGTGAGCTTATGCACAAGTTCAACTATTTGGAGTTTGACAAATACTCAAGCGTGTGTTTAAGCATGAGTTCAATTATTTTGAGTTTGACCAATACTCAAGCTCAACTCAAGTTTGAATTTTTAAAACAAGCTCAAGTATGAGTGGCTATGTACTCAACTCGTTAACAACTCTAATTAAAACTATTTGTAAGATTACTTAGAAGCTATTAATAAATCTTTTAATATATTAATTTATTAAAAATATTTAAGCTTTTTCGTTCTTATTCATGACATTTTAAATATCAAAACATTTTAATTTTTACTTTTCTCCACCTCTATCAATTTTTATTTGTATCCTTTTTGCTAAGTAAGCGTTGTTGCTGTACTGGATAATTTCCAGTGTTATCATATATTGATGACGATAATTTTTTTAGTGCATTTATTATTATTTTTTATTAATATGGGATGATAAAATATATAATAAGATATAAAGGGCATTTGTTTTGATTTATTAAAAATAGTTATCAACTATTGACTTTAATCAAACATATTAAATATTTTTAATTATTAATAATCAAATATCAACTAATTACTTATCAATTGTTTAAAAAAAAAAACTAATCCTAACAAGTCTAATAGCCTTCTACTTTTCAAATCCCTCCCTAAAATCTTTACTAAAGGACCTTAATGACAATACAACCAGGGAACAACTCGAAAGGGGTGGCTCAATGATTAAGAACTTGAGATTTCAAGTTGGAGATCTCAAGTTTGAATCTTTAGCCGGGTGAAAAAAGATTTAAGGAAAATGGAAGGTTATCTTCCATTGTATAGCTCATTCAAAAGTACCAAAAAAAAAAAAAAAAAAACACAACTGGGGAATACCATTTGCTTTCTCGAATCTCTTAACACTTGTCTCAAAGCTCAAAACTCTGAGGCGCAGGGTAAATAAGTTTAAATCCCTTGCCAATGACAATTTCTTCATGCAAGAGAACATAATCATACATGGTTGATGGAAACCTGAAATATCAGTGTAATTAATAGCCTTCCCTTATTTGACAAATCACATCATCAAATCATCAATTTCTTAAGAAAAAAATTATAGAGTGAAACCTGTCAGTATTATGTTCGATGTGAGTGAGTTACAACTTCAAGTAACTGTAATACATGATTAATTAATCACTATAGAAACAAAGGAAGCCTGACCAAAGCAGAGAAAATTATATCTTCATACACAAAAGAAGAGTTGTGAAGACTATAAAGGTTTCCTTCACTGAGAACAGAGTATGCTGGAAAGCAAAAGCTTGGAACTGCTATGGGAGGCAGCTGATCTTTAGAGCCTTGAACCTGTTAGTTTTAGGATCATAAGAAACCAGAGCTTTCTTGTTACACTCCAACACAATCTTCCCGTTCTTCAGGACGCATAAAACTCTTATGACTCATCCCACCTAGCTCGAAGCAAAATCTTCAATCACCATTCCAAGAGGAGCATTATAACACTAATCTCCCGTTCTTCAGAACTACTTTTCGAGAAAAAGGCAGATAATAGTCAGGTGGATCTCATTGCCATACCACAGCGGTCACCCATGATGGTGTAAATAACACAACTGTTACTGATGCATTGATGATCAAAGATTCAACACAAACTAAAAACTAGTAGTGGAAGCTTACAGAAAAAGGGTTGATTCAAGAGAGAAAGTTGAAGTTGCAAATTCATGGTTGCCTTTGCTCAGTTTGCTGAGAATAGAGATGGTAGAAAAGGAAGTGCCTGGAAATAATCGGGTAACCCACTTATTTCAAGAGTCTTGAATCTGTTTTCCACAGGATTATAAGAAACCAGAGAACTTTCACCATGACGCAACAGAATCTCACCATTCTTCAGGCGCATATAACTTCGGGAACTCTTCCTAAGAAGCTTGGCCATGCACCAGGAAAATCGGTATCATAGGAGAATTGTTTTACCCAAGATTCCTTAACATGGTATTGCTTCATCACCTAGATATCAAGATGCCCAGTTTCAAATGACCCAACAGCCGAGAGACACCCATTGAGCACGTAAAGACTGTAGCGATTTGACACAAGTCGTTGACAAGGTGGGTGCGGAATTTCTACGAACACCTCATTTGCAAGCTCGAAGGAGATAATACGAAAGATTCTATCCATCGCACCAACAATCACCCAATTGAGAGATCCTTCTACAAGAGCCTCAGGTGGTCTGTATTCTACCGCGAGCGTGAACCGTGGATGTGGAGGCGGAGCTCCTTTGTTTCTCCACTTTATTGTTCCTACGGTAAACACCTGAACCATTGATTCATCCTCGGTGTCATTCTCGTAGCACACAATCCTGACCACTTTGAATTCTTCCGTCCTCGGATGAAACCCAAATCCAAAAACTTCTCTTTGCTTCAGAAATCGGTTCGCTGTTGGGACTCTCACAGCGTCTCCAACAAAAGGATTGTAAATTAGCAGACTTCGAGACAGCGATGAACCAACGGTTATGCGAAAGGATAAGCATAACAGCCCGTTACAAGAACCCACCAGATTATCAACTGCCAAATGCTGTGGTGGAGCGATTTTTCTAACCCCTCTACTACAACCTTCAGTATCCAAAAGATAGAGTCGCCGGGGAATAGGGGAATTGTAGTCGAACAGAATCAGACATGGGTCTGAGTCGCTTACCCGATTACGGAACATCGGAGGGAGCCTTGGATCGGCGATTAAATCATAGCCGGCATGGGAAGTGGTCTTGAAATGGATCAGAGAGGTGATC